GTAATAATAATATTGAAAGAAACCACTATACTATCCTATACTATCCATTAAAATGTTAGAGGGAAAGAAAACACAGCGATAGATCAATTAATGGTACTAGTGGCAACAATCCCAGACTACATAAACAGAAAGCTCAGCATATTTTTAGTTTCTAACGTATAATACAATTGATTCCTATGACCCTGTATTTATTTTCGAATTATTAACAAAATTATCAACAAAAAAAGTTATTTCTTTTAATATAGTTTCGTTTTGTCTGTTGCTTCACCTCCATTTTATCATTTGATATAAAATCTTTTTGAAGATTATCAGCTCTAGCGGTAGTTCTTTAAGCGATAGTAATAAATTCTATCCACAACAGATCTTCCTACTGATATGACTATTTTTTAATTAAGATTTTAGACGGCAAACCTACAAATTTTATATTTACTAAAGTTTAAGGAAACACGGTTTGACTATAATGTTATTACGTTATCATTAGGTATAATACTATAATGTTATAGCAATAATATTAATGATATAAGTTTAGCTTTAATATTAATGCCATAATGTTATTACGCTTAAGAGCAATTTGATCATGAGCAATAGAACTGGAATATGAATTTCTAAAAGCAAGCTTATCTTATTTGTTCTTGATAAAGTTTATTGCATTGCTGTCACAAAAAAAAACTTTAAATTTTGACTCTATCAATAATTGAGATAACTATAGTACAAACAGATGAATAAAATCAGTAGTATTCCCTTTTTGACTATTATTTGAATAAACGTCGTTGTTTGTTCATTACTACACAACTGCCATACGAAGAGGAGCAGCACACTGTCTAATTTTAGTTGCAGATATTTATTGTGTTTCCTCCCCCAGAGTTTTAAATGTCCGCTCAATTTCTATATGATCATTGCACCTGACTCAGCACACATGTGGGTTGGGCTCTAAAAAACTAAAAGAGCTTAAACATGGAAATTCTTCGTTCATTCAAATACTATATCGCTATAATTTGATTGATATCAGAATTAAAAACATCGGATTTTGTTACGCTATAAATTACTTTTGGAATGTATTTTGCACGTCACACTAAATATCTGCTCTTAGATAACAATTTTTCATTTCGCAAATCAATCAATCTCCAGTCGGTTGTTTTTATTTACTTAAGTGATCTGACTGATCATTCAAACGTGCAAGTGCTTTAAAGGTAAACAATCTTTGATAGTTTACAATAACCTCAAGAATAACCTTACTTCATGCAGCATTTAATTGATGTACTATCTGATTGTTTATTACATGTCTCCTATTTTGATTCTGTTTTGTTTGTTGTTTCTTTGTTTGTGCTGATGGATGAAGCTATAGTTTAGTGATTCGCCTGCTTTAAACGATGCATCACCATGAGTAAGAAAGCACAAAATTAGTTCATTTTGTCTCGCAAACTTTTTAATGTTTAACAACAGGAAAACTCACTATCAAGATAGGAAATAAGTCAAGCGGAAATTATTTACCAGATTTTGGATTCAACTGTCACTATTGCACTACTGGAAACGTCAGAACTCTAGGAAAAGCTAAGGCATTTTTAGGGTCAAGTAACTTTGCGCTTGAGTAATAATGAAATATTACAACTCAGCAAGAATTTCTGTTGCAGAGATATTAGATTTTAGACTAAATGATTCTATCTCGTGACTCTTTTAACAGAAGTTATAAAAGAAAGACAACGAGAAAAATCTGGAATTTTTTTTTCAATTTTACAAGAGAAAAAGAGAAACAATTTCTGAACAGCAATTTTCCGCTCCTTAAGATCTTTTTTCTATATATTATCTTCTCTATATAACTACACTGAAAGTTTACTATCATCATTAAAGCCCTGTCATGTGATTATTAAAAGGCCTAGAAATGTATCAATGAAATTACAACGTTACGATGAATCTTCTACGTTATATATTGACAACCATAAAACTCATTTTCTAAAATCACGTCAGCTTATTCAATTTGACTGGAGACTGGGTGCTCATTTAAAAGTTAAAATAATTGTTATTCTAAATAGCAATCTAAGTTGTTATTTTAAATAACAACTTAAATTGTTCAACTTACATTCTAAATGATAACTCCTTATTTATCAAGTGTTATCTTCACAGGGTATTAGCAAGCATGAGAGAAAAACCTAGTAAAAATAAAATTCCTTATAAAAATGCTTTTTCTATTATTTAATATGTAAGATTTTAATCGGTTCTTGTTTTAATTTTTTTAAATTTCAATATCCATGTCTCCTCCTTCCGAACTTTATCCGGAGTCATTATATATATATCTTAGCAAGACCCACGACGTTTGTTTTCATTAGTATTTCATTTCTTTAGATTTTGTTTTCAGAACCATAATTTTTATAAAGGTTTTTTTCTTTAAGCTAGCAGGACCAGCCCGTACGTTATTGTATAATTTGACTAATAGCAGACCGCTATTTATTTTATTTTAATTTTAATTTTGTTTTGCTCGGTGTTGCATTTATTTTTTCTTGCACCTTAATGTGTTTTTTCTGCGGACGCGTCGGGAAAATGGAACAGAGAATTGAAGCTCCAAAAAGAGTTTTTCGGGACAATTCATATTATTTAAAAAATTTTTTTTCGTCAAACAAGAGCTTCAATTGTCTGTTTCGGCGAAACGCGTAATGCGTAGCTTGATTCGACATTCAACTAATTTTCCCTTGAAAAGCCTGGTTGGAGGTCCAATTGGGCTAATTTACCATTTTCCGCTTTGTAATTTTTATCATTTTTTAGTTTTATTATTATGTTTTAATTTTGTTTTAACTTGTTAGGTCGATCAGTTTTTTATAAGTGTTAACTTTACACATATCACATCGATAGGTTTTGCCCTTTTTTTGTGCATTCACATGTTTCCAACAATTGATTTTAACAGTTTTTAGTTCTGTATTTTATATCGCGTGTGGGCTGTTTTTTCACTTTTCCATGTTAATATTTAAAAATTACTTCCATGTTAATATTTTTTGAAAATACTGTGTTGAACTATTTCATTTGAGCCACAGCTCCTGGTAACTTTTTAGCGAGCTCTCTACAATATTTCTTCCTATTATATATATATATATATATATGTCACGTTATGAATGACTTGGAATTTCGTGGTGGCGTAATAATGCCTAGCGAACAAGATGTTGACAAAACTAAGTTCGCCGAATTACCATCTTTATTTTTAGGCACATCAAAATCATTTCTTTTTATAGGCAATATACTTTTGATCATAAGCAATTACAATAATTTTTATAAAAACCATAGCAGCGCATAGATGATTGCAAGAGCGCCTTGCTAAGGAGGAAAGCATAAACGAAACGTGACACAGCAACCCAGACAAAGAAGGGAGGGAGTCAAAAGTTTCAGTTCTAGTTAAAAAAGTTTTGGTTTACAATTTAGTGATTTGGCAAAAGGTATCTGCATTAAACGTTACGTAGGATCGCATGATTAATTTGAATGACGCAGTTTAGACTTATAGCGCTATTTTTAAGATAGAGAGAGGAAGTCAACAAAGTAAATGAAAATAAAAGAGGTTATAGCCAATTAAAATTAGAAGTTTGCTTTCATATTATATATATATATATATATAAAGAATCATGAATATAAAATTCGGAATATCTGTATAAAAGAACCAATCATTGGACAGCGTTTACGTGACACAAAAGCTTAAATGAAAGCAAAAATTTCCTTGAAATATCAACGATAATAATCAAAAATTGAATTTCTTCCAACATGTGTCTAAACTAAGCCAAGCCACATCATTTCTTAGGATTTAAAAAAAAAAAAAAAAAAAAAATGGAGTAGATGCTAGTTTTAAGCCTTTCGCACCCCGGCTAGTTTGTGATCTATAATCATAAAGGCATCTGCCGGGTTTAATGGCAGTTTCGCTACGCTGAGCACAATGGCAGTGCCTTTCACGATTATAGTACTTTCTGAATGATTAACTTAGATTACTTCTGATACCTGATTAGCATTCTGCACGAGAGTGGTTTTGTTAAGCCTTACGCGTGAATGAAAATGTGTTAACAATATTCAAAACATTTGGATATACATAAAAGTGCAAAAATAATTTCGAAAAAAAAATTCATAAAACACAAAATAAACATTTTCGAGTTACACACCGCATTACTGTTGAAGAAAATTTTCAGAAATTTACGAATGTAAAAATTAACACGAATAACAAGTTAAATAATACATGAAATCATAAATAAATAAAGATACTTCATTTTTAAATATTTGTTTCAAAGTAACTAAAGATGTTGCATGAAAGGTAAAAATTCTTTAAATTCGTTCTACAAGTATTTAAGACATTAACGATACTGCTAGATAAAACTCTTCTTAAAATCACTTGCAATTTAGTTTAAAGCTATTTATTTATTTAAATAATTTATTATTAAAAATGATTTGGTTATTTAAATAATTTAGTTATTAAAATATTTATTTATTGAAACAAAAGCAATTTTAGAACCACAGAACAAGACGTGTAAACACGGCTGTATAATTTTTTTTTCATGTCAGTTTAATATTTGAAAACCAACCTCAGAAAAAGTTGAAAAATTGATCAGAAGTTTACAAAAGCAAAATTAAGCATCACTGACCCCAAACAATTATGATATATTAACGAATCTTTTTGCAACATATTTAAACACTGCGCTTACTAAAAATAAACGAATAATTTTAAATTTGATTTTCCGATTTCCTCAGAAGTAATGAAATTAAGCAGCAAAATAAAACATAAAATTAGAAACTTTACACTAAATGCGCTATATATCTTTCCTATTGGTATCATTACAATGAATTCATTCAGAAACTTCTGACCAGTTCCAAAAAAACTTAGAATCTGAAAACTGCAGATATAGAATAATATCAAACCTCAATTGTTAAAACACGTTTAAAATTTTAATAATTTGGATAAATAAATATAAGCATTGAAGTCCATCAAATTTTAAGTTTCAAGGGAGAGCAAGCAAAATGAAATATGAATTATAACTTACCATGTTGGTGTAACGAACAATTTAATTTCAGAGCACTGCAAATTTCCCCCTTTCTCCCTTTTAGTCTATTTAATTTACGATTAATCGCCAATGGTAATAACTCCCCTGCAGCTATACTTAAGTGGTTTCGTTTCGTACATCAATTGATTCGATATTCATGATTTCAGAGCAGTAAGCCTGCTTCAGATGCTGACAGTTTTAGGAAAGATGAAAGAAAACACATTGTCTATTTCACGCATTTGTGAAATAGCAAGCACAAGCAAACAAAAACCGTTGTCAGCGAGCCTTAAGAGAGCGTTGCGTTGCACTGTGTAAGATTTGAAATGCGATACGTAACGATAAAACAGCACTTCTAAGTTTATCGTGTTATGTTTCCTTTATGATAACGACTGGATAGTGCAAACAAGCCACAGATTTCTTCATTCCGCAGTTCCATGCTCCCTACGCTTAGTTGATTTGTCTAAATAAAGAAACCATCGACTGCCAGCGTATGTGGAGAAGCTGTATATCTTGTAAACTGTCGTCGAGTTCTGCAAACAATAATAAAAGAAAAAAAAAAGTTGTTTGTGATGCATATGATAAAGCTCACATTTTCTTAGATACTAAATTTTTTTCTTACGTTTTAAATGTGCAGTACTTTGTCCCTAGTTTACAACGTAACGCTGCTTACATGCTCTTTAATGCAGAAATTTCTGTTTACAGAAGTGACATTACAGAAGCGCATTGCCTGATACCTACTGAGTCAAAGTATTTCTTTCGCTAACCTCCTAAGTGTTTGGATTTCCATTAAAAACAACAACAACCAAAAAAAGAAAAAAAAATTGAGCACTATTATAACAACATACTTTTAATGTATAATAATTATTCTATCTGTGAAGAGAGCGTAAAACTCTTCACAGATACCTATTTCTTTGCCATATTTACAACAGATATTTCTTTGTCATATTTACATAAGGCAAAGAAACATTTACAAATGCAGAGAAGTTTTATGTTTCGTTAACATCAAAACAATACGCATCAGAGGAGAGCTTCTTGTAGAAAGAAGTTCAAGAAATCATTTAAAAATCACATATTTAAGATTCTAATTACGTACTATTTTATAGTATGAGGTTCTTTATTTCGCAGCTACTGGATCGAAAAAAATATTTCCTTTTTATCAGCAAAGCTTAAGGTTCCTGTATAAACACGTATTACATGCAGTCAAATAAATTACTAGATTATTCTACTTATTAAATAAAAAAAAATTGTATGGAAATATTTTCATCTTTGAGAACTGAATACTCAAATGCAAAGCATTATGATTGGGTTATATATGATTCAAGAGAAACACTATCTAGTAAAGTTTCTCCCGGTGGACAACTCAGCAACTGGAAACTCTTCTTTTTATAATAATAATAAAAAAAGAAGAAGAAAAGAACAATAATTACTAAAAACTTTGTTTTATGTTATAGATGATTTCAAAAATTCAGATAAATAGTGAATGTTAATAAGCCACAGTTGTTTCTCACAGATTTCCCCGCAAACTCAGTTTTCCAGACTCCCCCCCCCCGGCCTTTAAAAAAATGCAATAAATGGTGTGGAAAGTCGCAAACATCTCCTGCTGCATAATTTTACTTACTTTTTCAACTTAGCATCTAAATATTTAGCGCCTGAATACTTCAGTGCGTTAAGAGAAGAATAACAAAGAAAAGCGAAAGAACAACACAGTTCCCCCGATTTCCATCTATTTCAGTTTGTTAGAGTAACATCCTTGCATTTTGAAAAACCGGCAGTGTGAGTGCCCTACATCTTAAACAGGTCTCGCACCGGCCTTGAAACACATAGTTAAATGAGTTACTGGCAAAGAAAAAGAAGGAAACAAAGAGATGATGTTAATGCATTCTCGGGGAAACAAACGAAGAAATATTTGATTCATTTTTATTGATTTATTTTTTATTTATTTCTGGCATCAAGCTTTTAAGTTAATAAACTAGCAAAACTACGGAAGGAATAAATCTTCCGATTGTAGTAGATTTCATACTTCGATTCTTAGAACATCTATTGGAGTTTGTTTTAAGTACAAATAACGTGCTTTATTATGCTTTAGAGGTTACTAATTAATTAAAAACCAAATTAAAGGAAAATACTAAATTATCACCTAAAAATTATAGATATGAATAACTGTAAATTATAAATCACCACCTGCTACATAGTATATAACATCTATATATGAATAGCTATATATATAAATTTTAATTATAATTTATAATTACATACTACTACTGCAAATATATTACATAATTAAAAAACGAAATAAACCTATCAGTATTATTTAACTATAAATCTTTTAATTTAAGTTTGTGTAATAAGTTCGAATTTCCTCCTCTTTAAAATCTTGGGTAATCTAATTAATCTTATTACGTATCTTCTGCATACGTCTCTATAAATGTAATTTCTAAATTGATCAATAACTAATTAGTTATAAAGAAACGTTTCTGAACATTCGGGAAGTTCACTGTTTACGAATGGAAGTAAGAGGGAGAGGTGGTTCGTATATAGAAAGTTTGTAAACAGAAAGCTAATGCTTTTTTCGCTAGCAGATAAACCAAGAAGGTTTTACATTAGAGCTAACTATTTGCCCTACCACCAGCACAAAAAAGCTTCTTAAAAGATTTCAGACTAGACTTAAAGTTTAACAACTTTTCCCAAAAGAATTCAGTTTCGTGTTCTTATTCAGAATCTTTTGCGGCTGGTAATCCCCAGCTTCAATTCAATCAGCAAATGCTGTCGGAATTTCTTCTATAGCGACGTCATGGCACTTGCAACTTTACCGCGCAACACCTTCATCTCATGTAGAACAGCACAAGTTTTTGAATGCATAAAACCAATAATAGTAGACTGCTGTAAAACTGTTAGCTGCACTTTCACCATATTTCTTTCTAATGTCCTCAGTATGATTTAATGCTTTCGCTTGATTTATCACCAAGCTAAATTGTAATAGACACATTAATACTAAATGATGGACATGAGATTAATTTATACTCAACTAAAGTATCGATATCTGTCTCCTCTATCATATGAAGCTTCTACATTTCTCTGACCGTTTTACCAATGTATTGATAATCTTTCAGAGCATAAAAACAGCTTCTTTTAAGTGTCGTAAAACTAGTTGTTTGTATTTAATGAATACTGAAATTTTCAATTTACCAATCTTCCAGTGCGACTTCCAGCGTGCTAGACGCTTTTCGCAATACTTAGTTAAACAGTCAGGAATATCCTTTCAAAGGATCAGTTTACAGAAGCCCCTGTCTATCAGTTATTTATTCAAGAACCTTGAAAATAGGGCGAATCTAAGACTTACAGATTAATCATTCAAATAATGAAAGTAGTGAAACAGAAAAGTAGAAGTTTTCGTTACAGCTATATAGGGGTTTCCAAAATTTCATCGGATATTCCAGTTAAAGTGGTATTCTGCTATATTTCTATTTACACAACCGTTTATATTACAGGAATATTTTACACTACTCACAAATTTATTACTTTTCAAGTTTTACAACTTCGGGAATATGAAAGTAAATAAACATTACTCTGCACAGATCATTTATCGCTGCATTATTTTTAAAGTAACTACTTTTTTGCATGTCAGTGAAAATTTATTTATCTAATACACTTATTATATAAACATAACTATTATATAAGTAAAAATGTACCTGGTAGCCTTCAAAATTTCTCCACTAACTCGCAGCATTAAAAATTTGTATGCATATTACATACACCCACACATTCACAAGAATGGGTTAATAATTTCATAGCAAAAAGACAAGTTTAATGCATTGCGATGCACATGTTATGAACAGCTTTGCATACGTTTTCAGAATTATTGTAAAGTTCTCCAGTAAATCGACTCCACGACCTCTTCATATGAAGAAGAAAGCGCGATCCTAACCACCAAAGCCATTAACGTCTTCTAATGTTTATTCGAAGTTTCACGAGCCCTCACTATTAAACGCTTTTGATTTTTCAGATCGAGAAAGGAATGTCTGCTGATTTTAAAACAGCGAATATCGAAGGGATCATCCCTCTGTTCAGATGAGTGTGTGATGATTCTATGAAGAGCAAAGCGGGATATTCTTCATGTGTCAACAAGATGCGCATAATAACTCTCAGATGAAGTTTATAACTCTCAGATGAAGATTCGTATGTTTAAATTTAATTTACTGGATAAGTGCAATCATTTTGTAGTTTAAACACTTTGCAACATGTGAAGCATGAGGTTTTTTGCATGATTATCGCTGAAGAGGATGCTTCTTCCAGAATTTTTAGAAATTTTCTCGCAGGTCACTAAACGTGATAGCTGCAGTGTCAGTAAATTTTTCGTTAAAAATTATACTAAATCTAGAAACTGATTTCTCGATATGGGAGACTTGCCCTTTACGGAATAATATTTCCTTAAAATAATTAAATTAGGATTTAAATAATCAGTTACTAGTGAAACGACAAAGCAAATACAGTTATTCTAAATAAACTCTGTTTATCACTTTTATTTGGACAAATAATTAATTTGTAAGCACTAAAATAACAAAAGTTTGAAGAGTTTCTCAAAATAAGGAAGCAAGGATAAAATAAGATAACGCTTAAGAAAAGTGTTAGTACTTACCATTTCAGAAAGTGCGGTTCCGACCCTGGGACGTGCGCGCGTAACCAACGGACTAAACAATTGAAATGCAACAGCACAGTGCAAGCAAGGTGTAGCCGCGAGAAGGAAGGGTGAGGGAAGGAGAAAGCAAAACGAACGAGGTAAAAAAGGAGAAAAAAATAGTAGTAAAAAGGAAAAACAAACGGACGGGGTTATTGCACAAGCAGTGTCAGAACAGTACGGTTGGCCGATTCTTGTCAATGGTGAATCACTACCGCTGTCTGCAAAAACCGCAACCACCCAGCGTTTACCGTCGTGACGTCAGTAGTCAACAATGTTTCCCAACATGACGACGATGAAATTGCGCCTCGTTTAACTGCAAGTCGTAGTGACCAAAATGCGCAATATATTAGCATAATTTTAAGTTTTAACGTGAAAAGTTATTGCAGTACTAAATCCTTAAGTTGCCTCATTATATTTTCAAGATTTTGAATTTCAGTTCACTCGCGTTGCCTGCCTATGAAACAGGGTCTATCATTCGATTATTTTTCTTAGAGGTCTATCAAAGAAATTATTTAATGATAACGAAATATTTTGTACTTTGTAACTTCTATGGACGAAAAAATATTTAATCTAATTGTGAATGTTATTTATTAGTATTTACATTCTTTACATTCATTTCTAAA